CTTGAAGAGTTCACCCTAGCACCCAGCAGAGCATTGTGTGGCGTCCTCTTGAACATACAGCTAAAACCATGGACACATTAGATAGCTTATTCTGTCTCTGAGTTGCCAGAGAAGACTGTTCTATATGTTAAGTAATATTTTGATGTAATAAAATATAAGTAATGGAGAGAAAAAATAAAGAGTTGACATTGTAATTAACTTACGTTGCTCACTGATGCTTAGGGAAAAGTTTCCACATTACATTGGGGTATCTTGGGTGTGGAAAGTTTACAGCATGTTATTCATCTGACTTTTTAAAAAGATTGGCTTGTATTAGTGCTTTCCCAACAACCCTGCCTCTTAGTATCTTATTACACAATATGCATTTTAATCAATGTGAGATATCGCATAATCATAATACATTGCAAACATCTAATTGCTCAGGCCGTATCTGCCGCACTTGCTTGCATTAACTCTGTGCATCATTCAACAATCAATGATGTAGGTACTATATTTTCCTCTTTTTACAGATAAGTTATCTGATGCCCACAAAAAGAAGGTAAATTCTTCACTATATGGCTCACTAACTGTTATAGACTTAGCATGAAATCAAGGCCATCGGGCTTCTTCTATTAGCCAATATTCAGTAGGTTAAACTTCTAAATGAGATCTTACACACAAAATACATGCACACTACCATGAGATAGTTGCTATGTCCCTTATGACAACATGAAACAATCCATTATAGCATAAATCTCAAGTTATTAGTCACTGAATAGTAGTAGTATGAGAAGGATGCAACTTTGAAATGTTTTAATGTTCACTTACATCTCCGGGTCATGAAATTCATATGACTGTATTAAGAAAGATGCGTTTAACAAAATCCCTGCCATGAGAGGGTGTGTATGTGCTGATAAAGTTGTTGAAAGTTTGCACTGAGAGTTTATCATTGTGAAATGAGATGACTCCTGCAAGGTCCTGTCATGAGGAACTGATCTGTGCTCTCAGAGCTTTCTTAGCTGCCTCTTTCACATCTCTGTTTCTCAGACTATAAATCAAGGGATTCAGCACTGGAATGAAAATGGTGTAGAAAACGGAGATAACTTTGTCAGTGCTGGGAGAATACAGAGAGCTGGGCCGGGAGTAAATGAAGAGAAGTGTGCCCTGATAGATGACCACAGAAGTCAAGTGAGAGGCGCACGTAGAGAAAGTTTTCTTCCTCCCACTGGTAGAGCGAATCTTCAAGACCGACTGAAGAATGAAAGAGTAGGAGATGACGATGATGACAAAGCAGATGATTTCCACGGAGCTGCCGTAGGTGGAGAGGAGCCACTCATTGATGGACGTGTCTGTGCAGGATAGTTTAAGCAGGGGAGGGAGGTCGCAGAAAAAGTGATTAATCACATTTTTGTCACAGTATTTCAGAATAAAGGCAAAGGAGGTGTGAACCAGGGAGCTCATGTTGCCACCGATATATGACAAGGCGATCAGTCGTATGCAGATGCCCCGAGACATCACAACCGTATACAGCAAAGGGTTACATATGGCTACATAGCGGTCATATGCCATGGCAGCCAAGATAAAGGATTCTGTATCTGCAAAGGCACAGAAAAAATAAAACTGTAGGGCACAGCCGTAATAAGAAATTGACTTGTTCTCTGAAAGGAAATTGACCAGCATTTTAGGAACAATGACTGAGGAATAACAGAGGTCTGCGAAGGACAGGTTGCTAAGGAAAAAGTACATGGGGGTTTGAAGATGAGGGTCAATCCTGATCAACAGCATCAGCCCAATGTTCCCGATTAATATTACACCGTACAATGTCAGAAACAGTAGGAACAGGACCACCTGCAGCTCAGGGCGAGTTGGAAAGCCTAGTAAAATAAATTCAGTCACCAGCGTGTAGTTTCCCTCTATAAAGTCCATCTTCTGTGTTGTTTCCTTTTAGGAGAATGCAAAACTCTGAAATATTATATTGATGGAAAAAGAAAAAGATAATTAGATATAACTATAAGATGATGACATTGTTTTTAAAAGACAAAGAGGCAATTAAATAAAGAATGCAACTTCACCCTTCTTTTAAATATAAACTCAGCGTGTTATATTTCAGAATTTAGCATCATATTTTATGGCTGCAAGGATTTAATTTCCTTGATTAATGACTGCATCTTTATTGCACAACTGGCCTCCTGAGTACAGGAATCACATCTGATGGTACTTTAATTCCTTGTATCTCAAATATAACACGATAAGGGGAAGGACATTTTAAAAAGTAGAAATTAATGAACAGGTAGATGGTTATATGAAAAAGAAAAAATATAAAATATTATTAAAAATAAATTAACTTATGGACTGTTCCTAAAAATGAGAATTTCAGAACAATTTGCTTTTTCTGCTCGGGATTGGATAGAGGTACTATATCTCTTGGCAGAGTGAATGGAGGGGAAAAAGATAGATGCCAGCTACTTTTTTTTTTATGATAAAGCAAACACTTTAATGAAATGAAAATGAATGTCAGTAAATATCAGCTGTGAGTGATATGATATTTCTTTTGACATGAAAGAGCTTAGAGTTCTATGAATCCTCTCAGTATATTAAACCAAGGTGAGAAAATCAGTTACCTATTGTATTTGCTTCTGTGCTTGCAGCAGTTATCATAATCCTCGGCTTCAAGGAAATGTTGGTGAACATCAGTGGGTTTACTGAATAAAGTACATGAAATAATTAGTTATGAGTTAACTTATAATTAAGTAAATTTATTTTCTTTGGCATCTTTGTTGATTAAATGTTATGGGCAAACAAAAATAGCTGCATTTATTTTTATGCTAATTTAATACAGTGTGTTGAATATGAGGGTTCTAAAAAACACTGCTTCTGTGGTCTCAAAATATCTCCAAAAGTATAAGGAATTTTAGTACAAGGAATCGGATCTTGACTTTAATGAATGGACTCAGAAATATGAAAAAAAATTAAACAAGCGAAGCATAGAAGATGTATGGTTCTATTGAGAGGCTAAGAAAGGGAATTACAAATATTTCTGAGTCATTCCCTTATTTATGCAACAAATATTATGATGATGAAAGTTCTGAGGGCTTATTTGTTTATCTCATTCAATTAATAAAACCACTCTGCAACATAGGCACAGAAAAGCTTATTGATAATCAGAAGGGTTAATTTAATCACCGGCTCAAGTCCTGCCTTATATTATTAGCTAAAATAGTGTAAATGGAAAGCAGCCATATAGCAGGAAAGCGGTTAACTTGTTCCTATTTTGTTGTGAAAACAATCAAAGTATTTAGAAAATATAAGACACTGTTATTGAGTTAGGAAGAATTTAGCTGATGTCCCATATTGGCTATGTGTGGACTATGTCAACTTGTACAATTTAATGTAAATTACATTAATCCATTTGCAACAATGACCACAAATATCTCATAGTGGGTTTCTGTATGGATTAAATTAGGAGAAGTTCCCTCTCTCTCTCAGCTCCCTCTCTCCCCTGTTTATCCTCCCTCAGTCAGTCTTTAGAGATACATGCACATAGTAGATACACAGCAAAAACCAATTTAAAATTCTACACTGCTCACTCTTACTCTTAACTTACAAATACCATTTACTATCAAAATTTTATAAACAATAGCTATTAA